GTGCCCAAAAGAAAAAGATCCCTTTTTAATTTTCAGTTTCTCAAAATTTTGATTTCGGTGTACGTAGGCACATCTAAACAAAAAATATGATGTGATCAGCACATAACTGACCGCAATGTATATTGTCTAGATTAGTAAAAGTATTCCAGAAGCTTATGAAAATGCGTTTTAGACACTTCTTTACAAGAAGTTCTCAGTTAACATACCTAGAAAAATATGAAATGAGTAGAATTTCATTTTGTCTGTCCGAATTATACGAAAAGTTCGTCAGTAACTTCAGGTAAAAACCAGAAATTAAATATTAAATTTTAAGAAATTCCATCAATTCATTCCGTAGATATGATAAAAATGTAAAATCGGCCCGCAGATCAGTTTTCGAGCCCTGATTTTTCCAAAAAAATTATACGTTCATTGTTTTAGTACGAAGTTCATTGTTTTGGCCCATATTAAAAGTCCAGTTGCTGATACCTGATTTCTTCCAAAAGTTAGGAGGTTTTGCGTACGGTTGAATGAAGCTTATATATGAAATTTCAAGTAAATCGGTTGAATATTTTCTTCAAAATGATCAAAAATGTAAAACAGGCCCGCTAAAACTGCCGTTCCCGAGGCCTGATATATCCCAAAAGTTGATCAATCCGTGCCATAATCGAAATAAAGTTATATATAAAATTTAATCAAAATCGATTCAACCGAACTTGAGATACGAATTGACCAACAAACTGACAGGTTGCCAAAAATAGTTTATTTACATTTCCCTACTATGGAGAAGTGCATTCCCACCGAAAACTTGATATGCAAAATTTGTTGCCGTCACATCACCTACCTTATTGTAAACGCGCGGTCGGTAAATATGTTAAATGGGCATCTCCTTCGTATTTCTGTTTCTGGTAACATCGTCTAGTGGATTCAATTGTGATTATTCAATTTCCTCCAAATATATGCAAATTTTAATATTTATATTTGGTTTATCTATTTATAAACAGAGTACACTTCTGACATTAAAAATAATTTTTAATGGTGTTTTTTATTTTAACGATAGAGTTCACTAGTTGCAGTTAAAAGTTTATATTTATTTTACCTTTATCACACGCTTGAGATTTTATCCTAATACATTTTCTTCATTTGAATAATAGAGTTCGCTGTTCTATTTACGAAAAAATTGTTCTCGATATTTTCGTACTGAATTCGTTTGTAGACTTAGAATTAGATTTTATAGACTTAGAATTTCATACAAAAAAACGTTTTATTTTTTTACTTTCCAGCTTTTTCAATTCTACTTTTCAGTTTTTTTGGATGGGAAATTTTTACTTTTCATTTTTTAAGAAAAACATACTAAAATTACAAAATATATGAAAATATTCAAGTAGGTACAAAAACCAAATAGTAAAATTATAATTGACGACTTCTTTTCTAAAGGACACTTTTTTTTTTATTATTAAAAGTACTGACTGCGTTAATATGTACACATTTTATGATAGGATGTGTAGACACTTAACATAGATATTTGTTTTGTATGAAAAAAAAAATTATTAACAAATCGAAAAGATTTTTTTATTAAAAATAGCTAACAAAATTAATAAAGTTGGTTAAAACTTTAAATGATTTGTAAAGTAGTAATTTTCCAAGTGAGAATACTGCTTTTGTAAAAAATAGAGGCGTTAACATAATGCTTGAATTCAAGGGTTGATTGCGTCATTTATTGCTTTCATTCATAGAAATTTGAAAAAACTTGCAGTTTCGGAAATATGTGCTTTCAAAATGCGACTTCTACAAATTTCGAGAGATGATAACTTGACAAAGGGGTAAAATTGAAAAAAAATTTTTATTAGCATCTAAAAGCTACAAAAGTTTCAGACTATTAAAACCTATTTTAAAAAGGAATGGCTTTAGGTTAAGTAAAGGTTAATTATAGCAGCATTTCTTTTTAATATTCGGTTATGCTGTGCCGCTGTAAAAAATTCCGCCGCAACTTTTTGCTAGTTACACTTAAAAAATTATATACATTTTACCTATATCAAACATTTGACACTTTTTCTTCATTTGGTTAATAGAGTTCGCTGTTCTACTTACGAAAAAAAATGTTCTAAATAATTTCAAAATGTATGCCATTTTATAAAATAATAAAGATGATTTTCATCTTCACTTTTTCATTTCACGACCATGACTCGATTTACAGCTCGTATAAAATGCGAATGTGTATGAAAACATTTTTGATCAAAAATTATATCTAAAATTCTGTTTAATGTGGGGATTTCCTATTTCGTACAAACGTTTCTAGCAATTTTTGAAAAAAAGTGCTTATTAGTTTCACTCTGTTCGTCCTTCAACGTGTTAATAAACCTTCTACACCCTTGAAGATAGAAAGCTGAAAAGAAGTATATTTTTACCTTCTAGAAGTTTTACCCTCCCAAAATCCTAAAAATGCCATTTTTTAACTCTTTATTGTAGTGAAACCATAATCACTTTTCAAATTTTGTAAACGCAGGCTTGCTTCTTCTATCGCAGCATACTATAGTTAAACTTGAAAAAGACAAAATGGTAATTCGAATTTACCGTTATCTAAAATCCGTTTTTTCCAAATTTTTGATGTTGATTTTCTTCTAACCCCTCTTTAAATTAATTTTTGCTTTATTTCAAAGATTGCATAAATTATTCATCCTAAATGTATGCAATCCTAGAAATAGTTTCCTAAATGAATGAAAATCATTTTAATAGTGTACTATGTCATCATAGTGTACAGGCATCTTTATATAAAACTTGACAATACACAATTTATTAATGCATTCATACGGTGTATTGAAAATTTATCATCGTACTTTTTGTTAAGAAACATATTTTATACTAGGTATTTTCGGACAAATTAGAAATGTTCATATGGTGATGTGGGATGTTTGAAAAATAAAAAAACGATTAAATACAAAATATATGCAGAAATTATTTTATTTCGTTTAAATATTAACAAAATTAAAGTTCTTATTCTTACAAACTAGTTACTTAGTTATAACAGGTAACAAATTACATTATAAAATTTTTAATAAATTTTTCTCAAAACTAGTTATATTTGATGAGAGGAGCAATTAATTTTATGAGATAAATGTACCTATGTATTCAAATAAATTCAATTTTTTAATTTTCTTTTATTAGAGATTAAATTACATACTTAGATAATTAAATTGTCCAAATCTTAACATTAGTTGGTAATTGATTAAATTATATTTGCCACAGGCAACAGAAAAAAATTTAAAACGATTACAAATTAAAAATACTTCGTTGGTGTCGAATCGCTTTTTCCTAATGCTTGTATCCATTTGTCTCTGATGACTTCGTTCTTTGGCAAAGTAAATGTAGTTATAGCATAGTTCCTTTTCTCGTAGACTATTGCTTCTGCATCCTTCGACGCAACACTTTCGGGGCACTTCTATTTGTATGAAGATAATCAAATATCCTACTATATTTTATTAAAATATAATTACAATTAAAAATTAAAACGTACACCAAATCTTACTAATTTTTCTTTTTAAATAAATTTTAGTACTATTTTTTCAAAATCCACCTTTGTTTCATACCAAATATGACAAACAAAAGAAAAAATTTATTTATATTATAAATCTTCATTTTATTTAATAACACGAAAAATTAATATAATTATTCACAAAATTTAAATTAAAATTAAATTATAAACAGCAAATAAATTATTTTACCGCTCAGCGAAACAGCCTTTTTGTACGAAATTTATATATTATGAACTAAAGAATTCTGTAGAATAAGGTTGTACAAAAGAATTCATCTTTTGTACAACCTTATTCAATAGACACAAATACAAAAATATTAACATTTCTTGTACCTTATAGGAGTTTATGATTCATAGACTGTGTTTAAAAGCAGTATTTGCACTTATTAAAGGGAAAAGTGCTACAGTACAAACCATTGGTTTGATCCAACTTCCCAACATTATCTAATTTGACAAAAATTTTTTTGTTTACATCCAAAAGAAACGATAGCTTTTATTTATTTTTGAAAATTAACTCAAAAAATGCAATTTTTAGTACATGAAGTAACACATTCAAAGTGTATGAAAACTTTTTTGACCGGCTGTATTTCATATTTCAAAGAACGAATATCAAGCTTTTGTATGACAAATTTTTGGATCTTTGATATACAAACTTTAAAATTGGTACAATTAATTAATACAATCAATAAATAACATTTTTTGATTTTATTATACACCCACAGTAAAGCAGGCAATCATTAAATTCATTTATTATGAAACAAACAATTTATTTCTCGTACATCTTGAGAAGATGAAAAATTATGAAATTGTAAAAAATTTGGAGAAAGCCCCCTAATGGCTAGTTGTTTTACAATTAAATTGACAAATATTTAATAACGTACACATATACCTAAATATTTATTATATTATATAATAATAAATTGAATATATGTACATATGTAAATGGAGTTTTCGTAATACTAAACAAATAGCTACTTAGATTTTTTTTTTATAATAGGGAAATATAAGATAAACATATTACACATATACATATATAATAACACTCACGTCAGGTAATTCTTGCCAATCAATATTATATACCTTCATGAACTTAAAGAACCAGCGTATTTTTTCAGCTTTCCAAAACAAAAAGAAACATAATACAATGTGTTGACGTCATATACAAAGATTTTATATTTCTATATTTTACAATGGTACACGAATATAGTACACATTTTGTACATAAACATGCGTACATATTATATAAAATGACAAAAGTTTTAAAGACTGCTTGTTTAAAATTGCTTATTGCATTAATTATAAAAAGAAAATGTTGATCAAAACAGAAAGATGAAAATAAAAAAAAATAAATGAAATAAAAGAAAAAGAATTTTACCCCCAAACCTTATTATTATTTTTTTTAATATTTTACTTTTGCAACACAAAATATTTTCATGCTATGCTAACAGACTTTCATTTAAAAATCATACAGTATCCGTTAAACCACCGATGCAATCACTTGGATTTACTTATATAATTGTGCTTGTAAATAAATTTTCTTCCGTCTACCATGCAGCAGACCTACTAAAACATCAACATCTAGTCGTTTTGTATTTAAGCTTTGCTTTATAAAATTTTTAAAGTTTACTCGTACTTGAGGTGAAAACAAAAAAAAATCAAATTTTGTTTTTCTCGTTTTTTTTTTAGTCGTCTGTTGAACTTTCTTTATAACGGTTGACTTAGTTCTTCGTAGTTTGTTTCAATTTGTACTCACTCTAATTTCAATGTAATTAATTTTGTCTTCATATTCAATTTATTATTCATATTATATCTAATTATTAATTATAACGAACTGTGAAAAATAAAAATTACAAATTAAAAAAAAAGATTTTTAATAAAATTTTGGAGTTTTCATATTGTTTTTTTGGGATAAAAACAAAGATAAACGGAAAATGTCTGAACTATTGTTTCAGAATCCAGTGGAAAGGATAATATCATTTATTTATGATTTGTTAATATTTGGATTAAAATCAATTTTCTTTATATTGGAAGCAATTTATTTGTCAATTTTACCAGATCGTTGGCGAAAAGAAAAGGTAAATTTAATAAATTTTTTTTATTAAATTTTAATAAGTTTAATAATAATTTATTGAGCCATAATTTTGAGTCTGTATAAATAATTTACAAACTTATTTAAATGTAAAAGTCACTACTCTTTTGAAAAGCACGGAAATAATGGCAAAATATAAAAAAAAAATAATAAAAATAATAATACAAAAGTATAATGTTAAAGTTTTTTCATCATTTGATTAACATGCACTGTTACCAAATAAGTTTTCAATTTTCCCGCAATTAAAGACTGTAAATAGTTTACAATAACTTTATTTGTAATAGGACTCAAAAATTGATAAGCAAGCGATTTAAGCGAGAAAGAAAAGATTTAAGTTAGTGAATGTTAAAATTTATACTCGTATAAATTTGAAAAAATCGAAAAATTGTTATGATGAAAATTTCCTTGACATTATGAAAGTTATTGTTATAATAGAAAACGTTTAAAGTACTGCTGAAACTATATAAGAGAAAACTATAGACTAAAGAGCGTTCTTTGCACAAAAAAAAATGTTCTCACGTCACTGCACTAAAAAAGGTAAAGCAAGGTTATTATAAATATAAAAAAGGTTATAACAAATTTTGTAAACTAGACTAGAAGATTCGTAAGAATAAAGCAAAATTTGGGTACAGACTAAAATAATTTCCAGTTGGAAAGTAACTTACTTATACTATAATTGACTTCTGAGCCCTCCATATAATATATGTAAATGATGTTATATATATATAGAAGTTAAATACATGTATATATATATATATATATATGTATGCTTAATGTGTAAGCCTTTCATAAAACTGTATTAGAAAATAATGAATGAGATACGAATAAAAATATATCCGTAAGAAAAATTAAATATTATTCGCACTTACATTTCCATATGTATATATGAATGTAGATGCTCTTATATTTTATATATACATATAAATACATTGACGTAAATATATTATATTATAATATTCAGTTGTACGTATACATTCAGATACAAAAATGAATAATGAATAGAAAACTAAAGAGATAAATTGGTAAAATTATTTATAGTTTTTTTTTGCTTTCAATTAATTTGCGAATTACATTGAATACGCGGTGATTTGCAATTTTTTGTTTTAATAAAAAGTTTGAGATTAATTTTAAGTTTCTTTTTTTCAAATTTTCTTATTACAAAATTTTATACATATAAGAAGAAGAAAAAACCAAATTTTTTTAACAAAAAACTTTTTCTTTTTTAATAAATTTGAACTTATGACCTTATAGAGTTTTTAAACTATTATATAAATACATACGTACATACATATACATACATAATTACTTTATAATAATTTTTCATAGACTACCAACAAAAAAATTGTACAAAGAAAATTATGTAACAAACTTTATATTATAAACATTATTGTGTTTGTCAGTAATATGTCGAAGATGGATCGAAACCTCTCAATAATATTATACCAGTAATATACTTGTTACACAACTCTCATATCTATTCGATCTACCTAACGTATATGTACGCCTTAAATGTTATTATGATTTGATTGTTGTAATATTGGTAATATTTTCGATTTGATTTTATTATAAATTTGAAATTTTTATAAATCTTATGCAATAAAACTACATTTTTATCGTTTATCCAAATTAATGTTTGATTGCTTAACTTTTAAAATCAAAAGGTAGCTTCATCTTATAGATATATTGGTACAACTTAATAATATTTGTGAATGTTTATATAATTATACATAGGTATAATAAATGGGAATTACATAATCATATCTGCATAGAACTGCATCTCATTTTCGCTTCAATGAGCCATTTGATGAAATATTAATTTTATAAAATTTGAATATGATTTTATATTAAATAAATTTTACATTGGCTTTTTTAATCACACATTAATATGTACATATGTATGTCAAATTTAACTGTGCTTACAAAATATTTTTGAAATTTTTTCTTAAAAATAGTTTTTATAATAGTTAATAATTCATTTTCACAAAAAGGAAAATTCGATATTTAATAAGCACAAGGGAGAAATTAAAATATATTGAATGAAAGCTAAATAAAGTAATGATCCAAGAATAGGAGAAAAATATTATAAAATTTTTAAATTTTAATTTAATCTACGTGAAATTTCAAATAAATTGAATGACAAAATAAGAAAGTAATATTTCAAAATGTAAAACTGTTAACACACTTACCTTTTTTTGATATTAAAATCAGAGCAATTTCGAATTTGCTTTTATTAAGGCAAATTAATGTGAATAATCTGAAAAAATAATTTGAAAATGATCTTAAATTTGTTTAAAAAATGAAAACCCTCAAGTTAATATGCATTTCTTAACTTTCATTGGAGACTTATATTAAATTAACAAGTTAAATAACTCGTTTTCTTTTGCCTCCTTCAATTTTTAAATTATCAATTTCAATGGGGAAAAAGAAAGTTTACAAGTGTGAATTTGAGCATTGTATAATAAATTTACAGTATATTTATTTTCCTTTCCTTTTGTTTTTAAAATAAAGCATAACTGAATGCGTTTGATTACTTGTGCATTGCATATGCCTACAAACATATTAAAAAATTAATTAAAAATTTCATTTAATTTACTTCATCTTTATATTTATGAGCTTCAAAAGAGTATAATCACATAATTTTTCTTAATAAAAATAGCTGAGGGCGTGTGTTACTTCCAAAATGTAATCCTCGAATTAATATCTAATGATCTTTTGTAATAACATAAAAGATTCAATAAATCAATAAAATTCATTGCACAGTTTTCAGTTTTTTTTCATAAAAATTATTATTTTGTAGTTTTGTATAGTGATTATTAAAAAAGATTAAAATACCAAAAAAAATAATACCAACACGGTTGAAGACGAATGAAAATGGTTGATTTAACATTACAAATTATAGGTATATATGTATAGTCGTTATGTAATATTAAAATATTACATAAAATATTATAAATTTTTCTTATAACGAAAATAATGTTTGGAAAATAAAATATTGTTTTTCGTCAATTGCTGTGTGTGATTAATGAAAAAGGTTTTTATGCTAATTTTTCCTTTGCAGCAACGCAAAAAACGCTAAAAATTAAAATTTAAGACCTTATGCAGCATAAGTACTAGATAATTTCAATTTTTATCGTAAAAATACACAAATCAGAGTATACTAACATTGTAATTAATTATTTATGGCTGTTACAAACGTATTTCATAAATTTTTGATGTGAATTTTGAATACAGTTATGCCCGCTTAAGTTTCCTTTCATAATTTTCTAAACTTTGCTCAGAAAAAGAAAGTTAAAAGCTTCAAGCCGAGTTTTACTTAGATTTAATACAATATCTTACAAGTCATATAGATATTTCTTCACCATATACATATATACTTTCTATACTTTACCATTATATTTACGCAGTAAAAGACAAGCTTATGTTATGAAATTTACACTAAAAATATTTCCTATTCTCTATAAATTTAATGTAGGTCTTTGAAAAGTGTTAACATTTCCAAAACATGAGATATGTATACATAGGTATACATTGTCCTAGGATTTATTTTCTCTTAAAAAAATGTAAAAGCATTAAAGGTAATGTAATTTTTGTTATAGCAATTTTATTTCATTTTCTCATTTCAGTACATTTAGATAAAAAAGAAATCTATATAGTTTTTTCTTCATCCTTTAAAATTTAGTTTCTTTGGCAATACTATCAATTTGCTTTGACATAGAGTAAAACTATTAAACATATCCTTAATTTCAAAGCTCAAATTGTATAACTTTCTTTGATTAATATTTATGAAAAAAGTTATATAATCTCATAAATTATTATAATGAAATTGTAGATAATACATATATATAAAAAAAACTATGTATATTAAATATCATAAAAATTAAAATGTACTTGAAAAAAAATTAAAAATTACGAACAAATATCAAAACAAATTTTTTGTAAGTACAAATAAATATTTTTTAAGTTTGTTTTTGAATTTAAGGAGTGCTCTCTTCAATATCATATCAAACTCTACAATTAGATACTTTAATGACAATTTCTTGTGTTATATATGAATATATTAACATACATCAAATTGTATAAGAGAATTTGTATACAATGTAACCTTACAACAAAATCTGACATATATAAGTAAACAAATAAAGCATAATTAAAATTATAAGAAGAAAATATCGTTTAATGTAGTAAAACTTTTTCAAAAGATTTAAACATCACCTCCTACCCATCCATATACACAATCATTAATAAACATACTATGGAAATCTTCAAGGTTTTTGTTATACGCATAGGTATTTATAATTAGCGCAAACAAAAAACTATATAGTTAATTCGAGCATCATTTTCAAAAAGTTTCGTTCATCGTGAAATTACTATGCGTACACACACTTAAGATAAAGATACATATATTCGCCTTAATATATTTTTTATTATTAGAATATTAAATTACTTATTGTAAATGAAAATAACAAAATTAAATAAATTTCGGAAATCTGTATATAAAATATAAATAAGTTGAATAACCTATAAATATTTGCATAGATAAATTGAATGTAAATTTACTTCAATTGTATGTACATGGAAATTATGTACACGACGCATAACTAATATTTATGGGAAGATTCAATTTTTATAATTTTTTCAACATGAATATAGCAGTTAAATATAGCTAGATTAAAAATAACAATATTTTCTTTGTTTGTGTCACACCTATTACTACATAATATACCATTGATATGCATTTAAAACATAAATACCTAAAAAATATAAGTAGGTTCTCATTATATATACGCAAGTTTAAATGGAAAAACAAAATTATTTTCGCGTTTTATTTTTTTTCTACTACAACTAATAAAATGTTAGTTTAAATTATTATAAAATTATATAGATATATCAAAAAAGAAATTTTCTTCTTGAATAGAGTTTACATGCAAAATTATAACAAGAGGATAAAGTATAGCATAAATATATTTTGTATTGGTGTATGAACAA